TTCCATCTTCTCTTTTTCTTCTTTTTTTTATCCCACTTCTGACACCAATTTGTTATGCCTCCAGTCATTAATTGATTTTCTGTAACTTCGTTTCGACGAAACTTTAGCGACACAAGTCCTTACTTAATAAAACTGGTTTATTCTTTCTGAATATAACTTTACCGATACGCTTATTTTCAACAGTCGCTCTATAACAAACGTTTTAACAACGAACGTTAACTTCAACAATACTTTCTGACTGCAGTTAATGTGTGTAGGTAGTGAGTAATTTGGTGACAACGTGACGGGACGGACGCCACTCGTTCTCTCGAATCTTCGTGAATTGTCGGGAGATTACTAGATATAGTGTTAGTCTTGTATATATATATCACGTGACTAGTGTCACCTCGCTGACGCAACAATATATACATACATAGGCGAAAATTCAGCATTATATAACAGTCTTAGATACAATTAAGAACATTAATTAGTATTGCATAAATTCTATGTTACCAAATAATATTTTGAGTTGTGAAAAACATTTTATAAATGTGTTTAAAATTTCACTTTTGAAAACTTAGTTTTGTTTTACACATTAATGCGGATTCCACAAGTGAAAGGTAAAAACCCAAGTCAGTAATTTGAAGGTTAATAAACCCATTCTGTATATATTAAACAGATAAAAAAGAAAAGGAGGATGAAGAGTATTGCACAACATTTGTTTTGATAGGATAACTGTCAACGGTAAATCCTACTATAAGATTTTATTAGGGCGATTATCTTCTAATTGTGTGCGCTTATCTGGTGTGTCAATTGTTAAGTGTGTTTTCGTGTAAATATGTAAATTGCACGAAAGTTAAAGCCTCTATAGAATCTGGAAGCTTCAAGTATTACATAGAAAGCTAGATTGCATATAAATACCATATTCAGTGAACGAATCAGTGAAGGAATTATTCAGTTCAGTGTCAGCTTGTGGGTTAGCAAGTGATTCAGTTAGTAAACTAAACAGGCCTTCCAAATGAGGCCACCACTCCAACCAGTGGATACTGACGTTAATATGATGAATGACAAAAGAGTAGACGTTAGAGGAAAGGCAGCCGTCTGCAACCACAGATCTAGCATTGGTATCCTTAGGAGGGACGTACAGAAGAAATTAACTGTCAGTTTCACTTATGCAATGGGTACTCTAATGCTTCGTGGGAAAGTCACTTAATGTTGGCCAAATCAGACCCAGGGACAGTGTTTGCACGAGTGTCTGTAGGAGAGAGAGAATAACAGTACCTCCAAGCACACATGTGGTGTTCTATGGTTTACTGTAGATAAGGTCTAGTGCATTACTGTCACGTAGCATGGTTATAGAAGGCACACATAAAGCGAACAGTTTCCTGTCCACAAAGCAGGCAGCATTAGCTCTGATAATTACCTGTTTTATGAAGTATGGGGTCCTGATATTGTTTTCTAATTATGGGCAATAAACTATCCAAATGTATACTGGAACTGTTATAGGCATGGCATACCAAAGTGGAAGTAACTGATGCTAACAGCAGCACTATGGTCGCGTCTGTTGCACTGTGGCTGAAAGCACGTATACAGCTATCGAAACGTCTGAGGTCACTGGTTGAGGCTTGTGCAAGCAGTCTAGACCTAATGCAGTGAAAGCAACTCAGTGACCTGTTGGTTAAACTTGCCAGTGTATTAGTGTGATCAGATGATTGATTGATTAGGTCAAACAGTGATGACTTGCCACACATTAGATACAGAGGATGGACGTACAATAAAACAGCTGCTGTGTCAGCTTTCCTG